AGCATATTATTATCACGATTGATTTTAATCAAAAACGTTCTACGTTATGGACAAGATTATGAAAAAATATTGTAACAATGTTAATCCTCTTTGATATTGAGAATTGATTACATATTTTTCATTGAAAAGTCTCTCTATATATTCCACCATCTGAATCTGACGATGGATTTACTCCGTTAATAATTTCAATTTCCTAGAACACTTTTCTAGTTTTGTGATGCACGTAATGTTTTCTATCCTTCGCTATGGCTGCAAAGTGACAAAAGCATTCTAGYCACCAATACTTACCACAGACRCAGAAATTACAGTTTAAAAATCGGCCGTATTTAGGAAGAGTCTCGTACAATCGGTATTTGATGTAAATTCATATTAACGGTAAAGTAATAAAATAATATACTACGGTTTAATATGAACATCCAAAATTTGTTCTATAATCAGTAGTAGTTTTGTTATCAKCTAAAATAACTGGTCCTGTACCCTATGATTGAAATTCCTCGCGATCCCATGATCATCTCTCGTGATATTTTCAATATATATACACGCGTGGTATAGGTACATAYATGCTATAATTGTTTAACGCATCAGACAACCTACGTTTAAAATATTCGAGGYGAAACCCATTTAATTGCGATAATGTTCGAGGTCTCGTGTGATAAACTGATAACAATATACCTATAAAAGAGCGCATAAGTACAGGGTGGTGGTCCCCTCCCCTCCTTGATGCGTCTCCCGCCGCGCTCCGTTCCGCCCACCGACCAATGGACAAAAACTTACGGAGTGATGCGTAGGTGGTATGAGCGCACTGAAATTACGGGCGTATTAAATTATATGTATATAATATATAATAATAATATTATTGTATATTGTTTTGTGATATAAACGTTGTGTAAGAATCGTTGGATTTATTTGTTGTGTTATTTAAAAAATATTATGACATCTAATGTGTAAAAATGAAAAACAACGTCGCCCTGTCATAGTATAACATAATGCCTATGGCCTAGTCAGCTACCGCCATACTAGAAATTATCATGTCATTAAACTAGAACGATATGTATAGAATAAAGCTATAATATATGTATGACATTATACTATACACATACAACACGTTTAAACTATGTATTGTCATGACATCAACATCAACAACAATAATAACAGTTATGAAGAATAATTACTAGGTACATACACTATATAGCAATTAAATGATAATAATATATTAAATATGCTGTTCAATATTAATGTCTTAGCTGTATAATAATCACTCTGGTAATCGGAATAGTATTGACACGAACATCGCAACAGGTGGCGAAGAATCGTGTATTTTTGATGCAAAACTCCAAGCCATCCCCTCGCGCATAATAAACCATTATTATTATTAATTAAAAATTACAATYGAATATGTATTTATGACTTTGTAACCCGATAATAAATATATTATATCATAGTTTATGTAAACATATTACTCACCTCTCGTGTCCGGCGACCACTTGCCGATCGACGACTTCGATTAATGAGCGAGTGGCACGTGCTTGTAGACGACGACTGTACCAGCGATACACTGACTGGCGTTCGTTCCCCCCGCGCTGAACACGGCACTGAACAACCCCGTGACGAACGCGGCGTGTGGACGGTCTTCGCGCCACCCGCGCCGCCCCTCCGGTCATGGATCAGTGGATTTTTTCCGCGCCGCCTGGCGAGACGATCACTCCGGTACTGTTACGATAACAGTACCTATCGTCGCCAGAAATAATGTGATGGCCAAACATGCATAATAATAGTATCGTGTCAGTAACAGGTCTGTTAAATAKTTATTGTGCTAAGCACTAGCTAGAACTCGAATCTGCTATGCATGATGTATTTGCATACAACTTATATCATTTTTAATAATTATAAATATGACAATAATTTGATTA